CTCCGAGTGGCCGAATCCTCCACTATCCCAGCATTCCCTGCACCCCTACCATCGAGAGGAACTTCCGGAATCTCTCGTTTAGGTGGGTGACGAAGGAACGGGCCCTTGCCGCTCTGTCTCACTCCCTCGCGCGCTCTCGGGCAACATGGCGGGTGTAGCGGAGACAGCGACCTCCGGGACCCACCTGAATGGCGATTTGGACCCGGACGACAGGGAGGAGGGAGCTGCCTCTACGAATGAGGAGGCAGCCAAGAAAAAAAGACGAAAGAAGAAAAAGAGTAAAGGAGCTGTTGCAGGTAAAGAGTTTTGTGTTTTCCAGGTCCTTGCCAGGAATGGCCGAACAGCTCAGGCCCGGCACGAGTGGCAAGGACCGGGGATATGACGCTCAGGGCTGGACTCATTTCCGAGTCGGAGCGGGTGGCAAGGCACGGGCTACCGATACTCAACCCGGGTAAAAGCAGCTTCTCCAATGGAACTAGAGGGCTGGGGCAGAGTGGGAAGAAAAAAGTGCCTCAGCTTCCCGTGTGGTGGCTGTGGGGTCGTTGGGCCCGAGTCACTGTATATCCGCAAGACTTTGGTCTTACGGACTTGAAACCGTGCACTGGGCCTCAGTCTTTCTGCCTTTTACGCGGTTTGGCAGTCACCTCAAAAATCCGGTTCTGACCCGTACTGCTGCTGGTTTTCTGCGGAAACCTGGTATTTTCGTCGAGGGTGGGGGTGGGCTGGATAAGTCTTAGTGCTTTGACTGCACCTCTCCCCACCACACCAGTTCACTTAGAGATTTTTGTTGCTGGCTGCACTTTTGTGGGGGGAGTGTGTGTGCGCGCGCGCGTGTGCGTTTTTGTCACGGAGTAGTAATTGCCGAATGTGAATTTTCATCTGCCCACCACCACAGCAACGTGAAGCCTTAGTGCCTTAGGCCCAAATTATGATGACACATGAAGGCCTAGGGAGCAGTCCGGATAGGGAATTCAGAGTCTCAAAGTGGGACATTTTAGGTCTATAATTTCTAAATCCACTGGTAAGGCAAGGAAACACAGAAGTTTACAGTTGGGTTATATTCTGAGCTAGGAACTTTACACATATTTTATTTTGATATATTCTGAGCTAGGAACTTTACAAATATTTTATCTTGATAAGTCGATGTTTTTGTTGCACAAAGTCCTTCATTTTAGGAAAAAAAAATTCTTACCAGTTTCTAATAAAAATCAGCGAGAGAAAGGAGGAAAATTTGGAGAGACCAGAACTGATGATTGTGGAATTGAGAAATCTTGGTGAGGCAAATCTATAACTTTCAGAAATTTTGATTAGATGATTAGCCCTTTGTACTCTGAATTGGATTTGTGTGAGTGGAAGTGGAGGAGGGCGGCATGGAGCGTGGGGTGTGCAAGTCCTAGCCCTTGGATTGCATCTTTCCCGACCACCCCAGGTCACTTAGGGAGTTTTGTTCCAGAGCACAATTTAACTCTAGGACACGGTTTGTTGGCTGTTCCTGGCTCTTGTATGAAGTCCAGACTCTTCACTTTGTCCTTTAAGGTCTTCTGCAGTTTGGCCCTAATACATTTTTAACAGTTTTATCTCAATAAGAATTCACTACAGTAGCCAAAATGTCACTTTTTTACGTGCTACCTGGTATTAGCTCTTCCTACATACACATATTATTTTTACAGCTAATTATAGTCACGAGGAGCTCTGGTAGCATAGTGGCTAAGACACTTGCCTGCTAACCAGACGGCTGGCGGTTCAAACCCACCAGGCACTCCTCGGAAGGAAGGTTGGGCAATCCTACTTCCGTAGTGATAGTGCCTCGGAAACCCAAGGAGGGGTCGTTATGAGTCGGGTTTGACTCAACGGCACGTAACGACAACAACAATTATAGTCACTTCCAGGACGGGGATCTGATCTTGTACTTAGATGTTCAACAATTTTTTTTTTTTTAATAATAGAATATCATTTCTTATTTTCATTTTACCTACCCCTTCTTGATAGCTTCTTTCTTCATGAGGCCCCGAAGCTCCCAGCTGTCATATGAATCCTATTTTTACTGGAGGCAAAAAAAGAGACAGCTTACCACCATTGAGTTGATTCCGGCTCATAGTGACTCCCTTTGGGTTTTTGAAGAAGTAAATCTTTATGGAAGTAGATTGTCCAGTCTTCCTTCTTCAGAGTGGCTGCTGGGTTTGAACCACCAACCTTCTGGTTAGCACTCAGATGCCTTGGGCACTACGCCACCAGAGCTCCTTATTCTTACTAAAACCTTTAGCATTTCTTGCTGAAATACTTCTTAAGTACTTACTGGGTAATTAAACTATTTGTTGTAGTCTAACTGTTGAAGTGCTTTAAAAAGTTAAACTATGTAAGGATAGGGACCAACTTCCACTCTTTCTTTTATCCTGTAGCTGATAGCACAGAGGGTATATAATGGTATTTTGTTGAATGAATTAGTGAATATACAGTACTACTTAGGGATGGAAGGTTTTTAGGTTTTTGTCTTTAAACAAATTCTGTTACGGTTCCTGGATGGCACAGATGGCTTGCTCTCAGCTGCTAAATCAGAGATTGGCAGTTTGAGCCCACTCAGCAGCACTATGGAAGAAAGACCTGGTGATCTGCTTTCAAGATTTTAGCCAATAAACACCACGACTGACTTCTCTATAACACGTGAGGTTGCTGCCTGTTGGAATTGACTCAGTGGCAGTGACTTTGCTTTACTTTTTGTTGCTGTTGTTCACAATACTGTTTTTGTTTTCTGAACACTTATTAGTAAAGGAGTTTTCTTATATGTTTCCCAGGATGCTACTCTAGTGAAAAAAGGTCTTTATTAGATTTGACGTAATGCTGTTTTATTTCATTAACAGGGCAACAGGAAACTGATAAAGAATCAGGAACCTCAGTTGATGAGGTAGCAAGACAATTAGAAAGACAAGCATTAGAAGAGAAAGAAAGAGATGATGATGATGAAGGTAAATAGTTAATTTGATCTTTGTGATAAGAAAAGTGTGACATTCTTTAAACAAAGTCTAAAAGAATAGTCCATAGAATCTCGTTCTCATTTCACTTGTTAAACCTTCAATTAATGCCACAGATAAAAAGAAGTAGTATTTATTAGCAACTTTTGAAATGTTAGATATGTTGAATGGCTGCTCAGGTAACACATATCTCAACTTTTAAAAGTGTACTTGGTAGAAAGCCAAGTAGTGGGTGAATACTAAGATAAAATTGAAGTTCTGTCTATTTAACATGTATTGAACAACTAATATGTACTAGGCAATATCCTAGGATATTTTCATATGCATTCTCATCATATCCTCTGAAAACCCAGCATATGTCGGAATTGGCTCAGTGGTAGTAAATATGGGGAATAGAGCCAGACTTTCAAACCTAGGTCTTGAGTCTAAGTCCATTCCTTTTACTCTATACCATAGCTAGTTGATTCACGAAAGAGCATATTGAACTACTTCTAAACTCCATAACTCTAGTTTCTTAATGCCATTTTAGTGCTATAAGATTTCTCTTGAGACTGCTGGAATTTTATCAGTAAGACAGTGGAAGAAGGGAAGATTAGGTAAGGGGAAAATTTTTGCTTTTCAGAATTTTAGGAATATTGGTAGTTTTCCCCAATATTCCAATTGCTACAGCCCTTTTTGACAGAGGTATGATGGGGCTTTCTATCTGGAAGTGTGTAATTATCTACTGCTGTGGCCTCTTGTTCTACCTCGTGTGCTGCTAGTCTGGAGTTCTGCCTTTCAACCATTAGCGTTGAATCCCTAAGGTACTTTAGGTATTTTGCTGGGGAAATGGAGAGCAGTTATTTGTTTTTCTTTTAAAAATCTATGTTCTCTGCCTTCAAGAAGCTTATAGTCTAAATTTGGTAACGTGTCAAGATTCAAGGGAATTGTTGGCTTTTTTTCTTCCTTAAGCACACTTATTAACCATTCTTAGTTTATGCATCAGGTTTTGAACATTTTGAGGTCTTGACAAGAAATGAGTTTTAAAATCAAAGATAATAATTGGTCGCTGAAAACCCCATTACATGTAGAATGACACGATGTTAATCTATGTGTGCTCCTTGTGTCTCTGTGAAGTTAAATGAATCTCTTGACATCAGAGGAGTATTTTAACTTTTAGGAATGTTGGACGTTTTCTTCAATTTAGGTTAATTGATTTCCTAATTCATCTTGCTAGTCAGGATCAACCAATACTGTTGTGAGAGGTTTTTTGAGACAATGGGAAGATACTTTTCAGAATATTTCTCCTAAAGGAATTGATGGTGTGATGGGAGAACAAAATATAAAGATGAAAAGGTATGTTGGTACCTGCAGTAAGGTTTATAGACATTTGGAGGTGGAATGGTGGGCTGAATGCTGAAGGAAGGCTCATTGGCAGGAATGAAACTTGAATAAAACCAAATAGAAAAGACCATTTTGGGGTGAGACAATGCTGGTGAAATATTCAAAGTATAGTAAATAATATAAACTGGCCATATTTGGTGATTCATTGATGGACATTTTGAGCATTTTTTTGAAAACAAGACTGTTAGGAAAAAATAATTTAATCTTGTTGTATGTGCAGGTTGTTTGGAGGAGAGGAAAAGTATAGGAAAGGCAAGATCATTTTGGAGGCTACTAACAATAGTTCGGGCAGGTGGTGACGAAGATTTAAGTTGGTATTCATAAGTCAGAATAGAAAGGAAGTATCTAGTAGTACAGTTGTTGTAGAAGCAGAATTCAAGTATTGGGAACTGTGAAGAAAGACAGGCTATATTCCTATACTCCAGTCGTTTGAATTTAGGTGAAGCATTGGTGCTGTTCACTGAAATAGTGAAGTTGGGAGGGAAAGCTGGTTAGAGATTTGGAGAAGGGAGACTTGCAGGCAAAAAAGAAGGTATTGCGTTTAATTTTAGTTGTGTTGAATTGGAAAGTGTGGGGTATCTGTAAAAAACTGATCCTGTGGGCATTTAGCAGTGTTGTAAGTTAACGTTTATTAAGATATAGTTTGTCTAAAATTATATTCACCTTTTAAGTGTCCAGTTTGGTGAGTTTTGACAATGTATACAATTGTTATAGCCAACAGCACAACCAGGTTACAGGCCATATTCATTTAACATTTCCTTTACAGATAACTTAACCTGTGCCTCTTGTAGTTGACTCTTGATCCATCCCTCAGTCACTGGTAGCCACTGATCTGTTTTCTGTCCTTATAGTTTTGTCTTCTAGAATGTCATAAATGGAATCATTACAGAATGTCACTTCTTTTACTTAGCACATTAATAATTTGAGATTCATCCAGTTGTCACATACATATCCATAGTTAATTCCATATTTATTGCTGAGTAGTATTACAGATTTGTTTGTTTATTATTTGAAGGTTATTTGGATTGTTTCTAGTTTTTGACTCTTAGGAATAAAGTTCCTATGAACATTTGCATATAGGTCTTGTATAGATGTGTTTTTGTTTCTCTTGGATAAATACCTAAGAGTGGGATTGCTGGTTGTATGGTGTGTATGTTTAAGTTTGTAAGAAACTGTCATACTTTTACAAAGTGTCTGTACCTTTTTGCATTGTCATTGGCAACAGATGAAAAAGTTACAGATCCTTCACATTCTTTGAAGCACTTGGTATTGTCAGTTTAAAACTTTTAGCCTTTCTTATAGGTGTGTATTGGTATCTTACTGTATTATTAATTTTCATTTCCATAAATGATATTGACAATCTTATTCATGTTTTTATTTGCCTTCCATATATCTTCCATATCTACTACCTGGCAATTAGCTCATTAAACATTTATCGGGTAGATGGATGAATGAATGAATGAATTTAACAAGGTTGCTGTTAATTGTAGCACAGGATATGTAGATTAGATTATATAACTTGTGAGGAGGATTGTTTTCATAGTTTCCTTGCTAGGTTGTTGAGTCTATTTGTGTTTCTAGTCTACTCTTAGATTCTTGCTACTTCTATAAGCTTAAACATGTTGTTTTGCCATCAAGTCGGCCCCGACTCACAGCAACCCCTCCTTGGGTTTCCGAGGCAGTATCACTCCGGAAGTAGGATTGTCCAGCCTTCCTTCCGAGGAGTGGCTGGTGGGTTTGAACCGCCAGTCGTCTGGTTAGCAGGCAAGTGTCTTAGCCACTATGCTACCAGAGCTCCCAAGCTTAAACATAAGAGATTGCAATTAGTAAGTAAAGAATTGTTGGACATTAGCAATTTCTTATTGCTCCACTTACATTACCACTTTCCTGACTAAACTGCTGCTTCCTATTTCCCAAGTAAGTGAAATAATTAACAAAAATAAGGTAAAATAAACTAATAGGCCATTTATTCATGTATCAAGCAGACACTGAATACTTAGAAACTTACACATGCTTAATTTAAAAAATGGCGTCTTAATCCTTAAGGAGCTTATTGACTATAGGGATCAGTATAAACCAACTATTACAATTTTGTGTGATAATTATAATGGAAGAATATAGTGGTAAGAGTGTTTTCTTTTATGATTCCTATTGGAAATTGGGAACTCTGGTAGCATAGGGCCTAAGGCACTTGACTGCTGACCAGAAGGCTGGTGGTTCAAACCCACTAGCCACTCCTCGGAAGGAAGGTGGGGCAATCTACTTCCATAGTGATACTGCCTGGAAAACCCAAGGAGGGGTCGCTGAGTCGGGTCCGACTCGATGGATATAACAACAACATGTGAAAATTGGGAGATCTGGTAGCATAGTGCCTAAGGCATTGACTGCTAACCAGAAAGCTGGTGGTTCAAACCCACCAGCCACTCCTCGGCAAGAAGGTTGGGCAATCTACTTCTATAGTGATACTGCCTCAGAAACCCAAAGAGGGGTCGCTATGAGTCGGGTTCAACTTGACGGCATATAACAACAACATGTGGAAATTATCAAACAATATAATTAATATCACACACAAGTAAAATCTTGGTGAAGAAAATTTGAAAATGGTTGCAGCAGTATATTAACGGGGAACTTCCAAAAATGCAAGCTGGATTCAGACAAGGATGTGGAAAGAGGGATATCATTGCTGATGTCAGATGGATCTTTGCTCAAAGCAAAGAATACCGGAAAGATATTTACTTGTGTTTAATTGTGCAAAAGCATTCGACTGTGTGGATTGTAACAAATTATGGATAACATTGAAAAGAATGGAAATTCCAGAATACTTAATTGTGCTCCTCAGGTACCTGTACATAGACTAGAAGGCTGTCATTCAAACAGAACAAGGGGATACTACTGCATGGTTTAAAATCAGAAAGGAAGTGTGTCAGGATTGCATCCTTTCACCGTACTTGTTCAATCTGTATGCTAAACAAATAATCTGAGAAGCTGGACTATGTGAAGAATAGGGTGGCATCAGGATTGGAGGAAGACTCATTAATGACTTGCTATATGCAGACGACACAACTTTGCTTGCTGAAAGTGGGGATGACTTGAAGTGCTTACTGATGAAGATGAAAGACTGTGGTATGGATTACGTCTCGACATAAAGAAAACTAAAATCCTTACAACTGGGCCAATAAGCAGCATCATGATAAGTAGAGAAGATTGAAGTCAGAGATTTCATATTACTTGGTTCCACAATCAACACCAATGGAAGCAGCAGTCAAGACATCAGAAGACGTATTGCACTGGGCAGGTCTGCTGCAGAAGACTTCTTTAAAGTGTAAAGGAACAAAGATATCATATTGAAGACTAAGGTGCGCCTAACCAAGCCATGGTATTTCACTCGCCTCATATGCATATGAAAGCTGGACAATGAATAAGGAAGACCAAAGGAGAGTTGATGGTTTTGAGTTGTGTTGGCGAAGAATACTGAAAGTACCATAGATTGCCAAAAGAAATAATAAATCTGTCGTGGAAGAAGTGCAACCAGATTGCTCCTTGGAAGTGAGAATGGCCAGACTTCGTCTGACATACTTTAGTCATGTTGTCAGAAGAGACCATTCCCTGGCACAGGACCAGGCAGTGTTTTGTTGTTGTACATTGAGTCGCTGTGAGTCAGAGCCAACTTGATGGCACCTAACAGCAACAACAATGTTAATTTTTAAAATTCATGTGAATATTGCTTTCTGTTCCATGAAACTCATGCCTCCTGTGTGTGGTTTGACCAGAATTATTAGCAACCAGCATATGACCATACTGGGTTTTTTTTTTTACAAAAAAACTTTTTATTGTTCCATACTGATGCTTCCATATAATTTGTCCCAGAAGGGGAACTTTTTCTCTGATAAAAACTTTGCAGGAAAAGACATTTAAAAATATGAAACCCTTCAAATATCTACCATCAAAATCAGAAACACGGGATTAGGAATCATGTGACATTCTTGTCCCCATTCTGCTATTTACCAGTTTAGATATATTGGGCAGGTTCCTTAAACATTTGTTGTTAACTCAGGATTGCTTTCAGGATCAGATGAGGTCATGAAATACGAGTGTTTGACTGCGAAACAAATATAAACTGTAATTATTGGTATTAAACTAACACTAGTTATAATTCCTTGCTTTTAAAAAGGAAATTAATTCATTTTTATTTTTAAGAATATGTTATCCAGCAATTTCTTTTATTAAGGTAAGTCAAGGTAAAATTCGCAAGTGCTTTTAATTACACAGTCAAGTTCTGATAATCAGTGCTAGCAATATACAAAATTATTTTCTAAGAAAATAGGGTCAACTTTGTCTTACAATGTGCAAGATGCATTTTGGGTGTTTGTGTTTCTGTGTATATACTGGCATGTTTATCTGTTTGTTGTCTGTTTATGAAGTTTAAATTAATATGTATTTGAAATTGTCTTAGATGGAGATGGCGATGGAGACGGAGCAACTGGAAAGAAGAAAAAAAAGAAGAAGAAGAAGAAAGGACGTTAGTGTCTTAAGTTGCTCTTGTTTGATAAGGTAGAAGTGGTGGTTAACTGGCAGGTTTGAAGAATGAGTTTGAAATTGCTTAAGATCTGGTATGTGTGAAAGATATAAACCTAGACTTAATAGAGAGAGATAGAATTTAGTAAAATTAATAACTATTTAGCTCATAATGTCAATTTAACAATCTCGTATTCTTTAGCTGTTATTCATCGAAGGGATCTAATATGGGTTGGTTGCATTTGACTCCAAGTTAGGTGTGAGTTTCTAAAAATTTTATAATTTAGAAGAACAGTTCTCTGCAAGGGTGGTTAAAGTGGTGCTACCATGTGGTAATAGGCTAAACCCCGTTTACCACCCAGCTTTGAAATTAGGAGAGTCTTGATGAATATTAAATGAGGAGTACTATTATTTAAAACTGGTGAATAATGAGAATTTATTAATAATTTTTATATTGTACTATTTCAAATTTGCATAAAATATCCCACTTACATTTTGCTTCTATAAATAGCGTGACTGAGCATCTTCAGGGTCCTGAAAATACCTTAGGGAGACTGTGTAGTATTGGGGAGTCAAGGTTGGCTTGAGAATTGGAAAACTGAAGTTCTCATCTTAAATGCTGTTGGGTTATTGGGGACTGTTGAGTGTCTGGTTACTCCTTCCTTTAAAATCTTTCAGGCTCAAATTCTGTGAATCAGTTTTATGTCTATGTTGATGGAAAAGTGTAAATTATTTTTTAAGAAAGCTCTTGGCACTGTCATTATTCCCATGGTGTGTTTCTTTCTATCCTTGCTGCTGTCACGAGTCACTCATCTATCATTTGTGAGGGCACATGAGTCTGTATTTAATGAGTACAGATTACCTGCATTCCAGGAAACTGCCAGGGATTATGATGTCCTATTCCTTCTACCCAAAATAATTAAAAGTTATGGCTATGAGAATTAACTGTTTGTCTAGATTACTCTAACATTTGCTCTTCAACAAAGGTAGACCAGCAGGAAGGAGTGTTAACGTCTTTGATAGAATTCTTTTACTGACAGATGCTTTATTTTACCTCCTCTGAGGATATTATTGAATTTATTGTTCATTATATTTCTCTTTGAGTACTCTCATGAAACACTTTTTACTTTTTTGGTCTGATGCAAGTATGAAGAATAATGTGCTACTACTCCAAGTAGTTGACCTGTTTTTAAGTCAGAAACACCATGAACGATGCCAGTTACTTCATTTCCTCTTTTATTGACTACCGGAGGACTTAGAGTCATCTGTGGGGTTTTATATTGCCTTATTTCAGCCTGTATTTTCTGTTCTTTTTCTTGATTTGAAATTTGCTTTCTAATTTACTTCTAATGTCTCTTATTTGTATAATTTAGATGTTCTTGTAGGTGATTTTAAATCCTTCTGGATTAACCTAAATTATACACTCATGAGCGTTTACTTAACCACTTTGCCTTAATTTCTTCATCTATAGAATGAGGGAATTACAGTATTAGTTAATGATAATTGAAGCTCAGATTATTATAGATTATACATAGCTAATAACTTGGATGTGATTTAATTTTTAAAGGTCATGAAAGATTTCATCAGATTCTTCATTTTATAGATGAAAAATTTAGATTTGGCACCATTTGTATTTGTCCAAGTCACAGCTAATAAGTGGTAAAGTCTAAACTTGAACTCTGACCTTTTCATTACAAATTTTTTATTCTGTAATGGCCTTTTTGAGTTTTTTTAAGTAACTGTCATGTCTTAATGATTTACAGACAGTGTAAAAGGCATCTTACCATATTTGTAGAGGAGATAAAGCTGGGGGTGACCAGATAATACTTTGGTTGACAAAAAACAAGATTTCAAAATACCAGTTAACTGGGCTGATATTAACAAGCAGAAAATTTAACAGGGACACATAAGTTAGGATAAGAACTCTCAGAATTTTTAATGCTAGCATGATGTGAACCAAAAGCAAGGAGTCTTAAATTATTCAATAGCAGTAGGATTTTTAGAATAAGCAGTATATTCTTATACTGCATGTACTTTATCTGGACTATGAATAGAAGACAGTTCTAGTACCACTTTAAAATGAACATTGACAAATTCAAGGTTCTTCCATATGACTGAAAGTGAGAAAAACAATATATACTAGAATTTTTTTAAGAGGAATAAGGATCAATAGAAGTGGAAAGTAGATTTTTATTTATTTTTTAGCTTCAAAGAACAGAGCTAGGACTGATAGTGATAATTGAATGTGGCAGGGAGATTTAGCATAGAAGAACTTTCTAACCATTGTTGTTGTTATTTGCCATTGGGTCAGACCCGACTCATGGCGACCCCTCCTGGGGTTTCTGAGGCAGTATCACTACAGAAGTAGATTGCCCAACCTTCCTTCCAAGGAGTGACTGATGGGTTTGAACTGCCAGCCTTCTAGTTACCAGTCAAATGCCTGAGGCACTAGACTGTCAGAGCTCTTTCTAACCATTGTAGCTCTCCCAAAATAATAAATTAGCTAGGGAGATAATGCCTCCCTTGTCAGGAGTCAGTGTGTCAGGGGTGTTAAAGGATTCCTGCTTTGAATGTGAAGTTGAATAAGGTGAGTTCTACGATCTTTTTGATTTTATAATTCTAGTGTTCCCTTTAGGAGCTCTGGTAGCGTAGTGGCTAAAGCACTTGACTGCTAACCAGAAGGCTGGCGGTTCAA